AGGAGAACGTTGAGATGGCCAATCGTAACCATCGCCGGCTTGCAAATGTTCCACAAATGTTTCCTCAAACAGAGGAGTGCCAACGTTTACGTGCTCAACAAGTTAGAACTTGCGCCTTAGTTCGGGAGACGGTCTTTTCGCACGGGCGGTCTCCAAAGTTTCCCTGATTTTGACTCGTCCTAACATGTAATGCACGCCGCAAATCTTTCCTCCCCTGTCTTGCTTAGGCAAAAGCCGCCGCAGGGTGTGTCGCGCGCGGCGGTGATCCTGTGTGGAAACCATTACGGTCGTGCGAATCGTCCTACACCCCCTTAGTTCACTTGAAGCAAATGCTCCACAATAGATACTCTTCAAGGGGACAGCACAACGATTAGGCTGAGATAGGCGAAAGCTCCTTTATATAGATTTGTCTGGACACTATCTCATATTTAAAGAACAACTTTCACATTGCAACTTGTCCGTAGTTACAGAAGAAGTGTTTGAAAGTATCTATTGTCTTGCGCCACTTCGAACACGAATTTTCCGTATTTTCTATGCTTCATCTTCTATAGGCAAAAATTATATTGGAGGTTGCTAAGGCCTACAGAACTTGACCTAATCAACGAGTCAGGAATGAAGGATAATCGGAAAATGCTTAACCACTTCGACCTACAGATACGAGGAGGAGTGTCTATACGATTTTTCTATTGTGTTACGTTGTATGATATTAGGTTATCCTAAAAGTAAACCGTATCTCCTAATGAATCAAACTGTCTTTGTTTTCTAGCGTACTTAGGGGTACCATTCGATAGAGCGAAGCAAGCCCTACAAAATGACCACCAAAGATCCGTCTAAGTCATACCAAGTGGAGTTTGAAGCAAGAATCAAAAAAGAAAATTTATCACCCAAAAACTGGATTTCTGCGAAGAAAAATCCTACAGTGCTGGCCATAGCTATAAAGCCACCCTAAAAATCACTGTAATTTGCTCTCTCTTGTTCGAAATTGTCTGAAAAACCACTATTCTGTGTGCAAACTAACGTCATATCATTGACCAGAACGGCTCCCGATTTCATTGATTTTGGCCGGAGAGAAATTGAAAAATTTGAAAAAACTGGTTCCCAAGGATGGTCACAGCTATAAAGCCACCTCTCATTTCTAATCAGTACTACGTTTTTTGAAACTAAGTTTTTTGTACATATACAACATCAAACTATGAGACATTTGTTACACTTGTAAGCAGTCACCTCTCTAAAAACAAGATACATCTTGCATTTTTTGCTTCAAAATGTATAAAAAGTTATAATGTTTGGAAAAACTGCCTTTTCACCGAATTCTCAAGCATTTGTTTGACTTGAATGAAGGTCCTAGACTTCGCCGAGCCTTTGCAATGAACATAGTGAAAAGCGCAGGAGTGAACATGGTGTAGTCGCTGGTATTGATGAACGAAGCTCAGTCTTACCTAGGTGTAAACTTCTAAAACGCAAATCTCGATTTCTGACGCGCAAAAATTTTCGGTTGGAAGTTGACACCTTGTTTGCATGGTAACGTACTCATGCAGAAGCTGTCAGGCTTTTTACAAAGGCGTATTTGCAGCTTTGAACAGGAACGTCTTGTTTGCAGTTCGGTTGTGCGCAGTGTATCTTACATGACTTCAAATTTTACTGCTTTGAACTCCTCTTCATGTCAAATCTTACAAAACTGTCAGGAATAATAGAATTTTAAAGTTTTGAGCGGTTTTCCACTCGATCGAAAGGTCAGAGTGTGTCACGATCAGGCAGAGTGCACCTCTCATTTTTGGAAAAAAGGCGTTTAAGGCGGAACCAAAATCCTGGGAGTTGCGATGACCTTCAAGCTATGCGCACGAGTCTATCTTTGTACAGGCGACGTGCTAAGCACGTGGCAGAGCTTTTCGGGCATTAGAACTCAATTTCTGCAGTTCGGAAACTCGTCCACCTGGAGGTGAGGTTGGGACTTGTTTATCGATATCAGCGACTACGCCATGTTGACTCCTGCGCTTTTCACCATATTCATTGCAAAGGCTCGGCGAAGCCTAGGACTATCATTCGAGTGAAACAAATGCTTGAAAATTCGGTGAAAAGGCAGTTTTTCCAAACATTATAACTTTTTGTACATTTTGAAGCAGAAAATGCAGGATGAATCTTCTTTCTGAAAAGGCGACTGCTTCCAAGTGTAGTAAATGTTTTATACTTTGATACTGTATATGTACAAAAAATATCAGCCACGAAAAACGCAGTATTGATTGGAAATGAGAAGTGGCTTTATAGCTGTGACCAGCCTTGGGAACCCGTTTTTTCAAATTTTTCAGTTTTTCTCCGGCCAAAATCAATGAAATCGGGAGCGTTAGATGTTAGTTTGCACACAGAATAGTGGTTTCTCAGACAATTTCGAACAAGAGAGAGCAAATTACAGTGATTTTTAGGGTGGCTTTATAGCTATGGTCAGCTCTGTATGTTCCTCAAACTTTTATGTAATTATGCAGCAGACACATAATAGTGCTCAATTATGTCTTTACTCGAATTTTCCCATAGAAAGCAAGAAAGAAAGATAGTCTATATTTTGGTATCGTCATATCTGACCGGAGACTGGCTTTAAGAGCGAAGAATGACATTGAAGCGGGAGAGTTTATGACAACAGTAGGGACCTTTGTGGGAAACACTATATATTTATTTATTTATTGCACATATTGTATATAAATACATCATAGCACACCCAAGGTAAATAAACATCTGCTTCTGGTCCCATTTATAGATGAACCAGAGCTGTTAAGGATGTATAAAAATAACAAGCGCATTATCATGGGCTAGAATCGATTGATGTAATAGTTTGATTGGAAAGCCACGTTGCAATCCTTGCTCAAAATAACAGAGGTATGGCGTTACAATACAGTATGGCGCTACATAACTGAATGAACCACTTTCGAACGGTACGCTTATGAGGTAGCTCCTAGGCGATACGGCTAAACCGCGCGTACCCAGGTTTTCATTATACTACCTTCCTTCTGCCCCGTTTCCTCTGTGTTTGAGCAGCAAGTAGCAAACAATGTGGCGTTAGAAAGCTGAGTATGAGCTGTACATGAGTATGAGCCATGATGATGCGACAATCACAAATAGTTTTTGGATGTAACAGCGCTGGGCTAATTTTAAGTGAGTCCAGAGTACATCATGTAAATCAAATAGGGAGTATAAGCCGTATATGATGATATAGACTTTCACTGTTCATCACCAAAACACCGAGGAAGTTCATGTTTGATTAAGAAATTTCTTAATTTGTATGAATTTTCATGACTAACAATTACGTGAGGAAGTTTGTTCAGTAAATGACACGTGCGACAAGCGAATGAGTCCTGTACTATTTTTTGCGCCATCCTCTTGTTCGAACCAAAGAGATATCCAAGCTGAAATGACGACTATTGGTCGGACGAACGATCCAAAAATCAGAGAAATTCAAACGCACCTCAGATCTGAACATTTTTAATCCTAATAATAGATCAGCAGTCATTTTTCTCTTGTACAAACTCTTAAGCCCCAAAAAGGCTAACCTACTGTTATAATCAGGTAATGTATTAGGGTACTGTTTGTTTGGCTAGATGCAATAGTATAGAATTCTGGTAAATGTGTGTTGAACTTTTTCTAATTCATCAGTGAGTTTCTTTCGACTAGGATTCGTACAGGACTATCGTACTCCAAAACAGGCAGTACATAAGCTTGATATAGTCTAAGCCAAATGGATAAATCATTTACATGTATATCTAATTTATAAAGTTGAATGTTTGTCTGTCTGTATGTCTGTGTGTACGTATTTGCGGAATAAGAATTTTTATTTCGGAACCGATTTGGAACTTGGCACTACACTTCGGCGCAGGGAGCGTGTCATAGGCTACTTTTCGTCATCGATCGATATCGATTTTATCGATTTTTATCGATTTTTTTGCAAACTTTGACCTACGGGGCTGGAGGTTGGCACAGGGGGATAATCGTGCATGCTGATTACGAATACATTATTAGTTTTTAGAATTATCCACTACTTCTATTGATTTTATCGATTTTTTGCAAAGTTTGAGCTACAGGGCTGGGAGTTGGCACAGGGAGGTAAGTGGGCATGCTGATTTTGAAAACAACACAGGAAACGGGAAATGAAGTGTAGAAGTGGGCACAGGGAAAGGCTGTACAGGGTAGGGATGGAACCTTTATTACAGTGTTCTAACAGGGCCGAGCGGAGCCGGGTGAGCAAGCTAGTTTCTAAATAAAGAGTACATAATCCGTGATGCCTTAGAGACAACAGAATCGATATGAGAGGGAGATTTGAGAGAAGGATCGATGGTTATACCAAGGTCACATATATCCCCGTTTAATTTTTAAGGGAATTCCATAGTCAAATTCACTTGAATCGTTACCAAATTTCAACAACTGGCTTTTAGAAAGGTTGACCTTGATTCCCCAATCGTTAGCCCACTGTAGCATTTGATGTACTGACTGTTTCAGTTTTTCATGAATTAACTAATATTAGTATCATAACTGGCATATATCTTGATATCATCGGCATATGCAGCTACATCGATATATGAATCTGTTTTTTCATGAATCATTTTTTATCTGGTTTTTTTTGGTATAACCATCGATCCTTCTCTCAAATTTTCCCCTCATATCGATTCTGTTGTCTCTAAAGCATTACGGATTATTTACTTTTTATTTATATCAGTTACTTCTTCACCACCAACAATTTCAATTAATGTCAAAGATTACATGGCTGTATAACACGCTGATCAAATCTGTTTGCATCGCTTAATAAGTCTTTCTGTGTTGGACTTGATATTTAGGTAAATCTGAGATTTAGCCGAGACTGCTTTGATATTCAGTTAAGTCCGCGTCGAGCAATTTGTAAAGGGAATCGATACACGAGTCTTAAATACAATGTCTGAATGTCTTAAATATTAGAATAGTGAACATACCTATTAGTATTACCTATTAGTATTAGTATGCGAGAGGAGTTTTCGCAGATGCTAGAAGACTTTTCTGCTGGTTGGGTATGTTTGATAATGTTTATGTT